CAAGTGGAAAGATGACTGCAAATGTAACGTCGCGCTACGGGTGCGAATGGACTCACCATGTGCCACTTTCTTCCCACTGACCAGTTTATCACCAGGTAGACTTTAGCTACGTTACCTTAAATCAGTGGAGTTTGTAGGAACAATAGTGGGTCGATTGAGGCGATTCTTCTTTGCCCTGAGTTTAGGCTCCTAGGAAGATATTGGTTTCACTTTGAATACAAGCTCTATTTATTTTCAGGGATTTACGGACCATAACGCTTGAAACGTGACTTACTCAGACATCAAACATCGATGCCTATAATGTGAGATATTTTGTTGGGTGGAGTTTATCGGAATGAATAAACGCAATGTAGGGGGAATGTGCCTGTCACTCCTCGCTGAGGGAATAATGTAAACTCCGTTCATCCTCGCTGCTGTTTGGTTTCCAGGCTGTCATGCAGGACGGAAGTGCAATACTGCCGACTTCTGGACAATAAATGCGCAGCACTCCAGTTCTCTCTCCTGTTTCAGCGGATTTTGTTTATTTTCTCCACATAACCCAGATAGAATAACTCTTAGCTAAAACCTAACTTTGACTTTCCTTGTAAAAAACAACAACAATGTTGAACAAAGATAAAACTATACTTCCGGCGGTCCCTTTTCATTCATATTAGTCTGGAACAGCAAAAAAAAAGAAAAGTAACGTTTTAATTAAAGTCATACAGACAAACATTCCCAGTGTCAGAGAAGTGTTATAACTCGTCCTATTAGATCATTAACTCTTGATCTCATCCTCAATGTTGAAATATGGAAAAAAAACTAATTTAGCACATAATATGCATCAGCTAACTTACAGCCCATCTTGTTTAGTTTATCAAGATAGTATTTTTTTATTACTAGCTTTTATAAATTATTATTATTTTTCATAAACATCTGTAATATATTTAATGACCATGCATTCATCTTTGCTAAAAACCTGTAGTGTGTAATGGTTGTCCAATACTGCTTGTAAATGTGATTATACCATTTATATATTGAGAGATGAGCTGAAAAGGGAGTCTATCCAGGTAACAAACAAGAAACACCAGCCAAACAGTTAGGATTGGTTTTATTGTTGATCTCTTGCAATAAAACTTCACCCATTCTGTCATCTATGATAAGCTCAGATGAGCAACCCAGTCACCTCATCTCACTCAGTTTGCCCTCAGGAGTTCTCCCTCTGAAAATGAGCAAAAATACACAATGTTTTCTCCAGTGCTATTGTTATATTATATTTGGTATAATAATTTTTTATGGGCCCTACGTTTTTCTTCATCAACTCACCATCATTCACTGCCCCGCAGTACTCGCGGCACTCAGATTTGCTGTAGAACTTGTTGGCGTTGCCCTGGCAGAAGCCTGCTTTGTAGGGAACGCACAGACCAACACTGGAGTCAAATGCCCAGATGGGGGGCTGTCCTGTGCAGGGTTGGGGCACCATCGGCAGACGGCACACAGCTGGGGAGACACAACATATTTTCATGAATTCAAAGAGTTTCGTTTTCTCTTTTCACAGCAAACACATGAGACAGAAAAAACGCTGAAATTACATTTATACATTAATAATTCTATCATTTTCCCACATGGAAAACAAATGTGTCCGTTGTTTGTTTTGCTTTCATTCCTTTTCTCACCCTCAGTGCGACATCTCTGCAGACACTCCCTCTCGTTTTCAAAGTTGTTCTGGTTGCCCAAACAGCCTCCGTACTTGAAGAGCTCACAGCTCATTGCGGAGGAGTTGTAGTAGTAACGCTGGAGCAGCCCGAAACAAGGTCCTGTATCCGGTGCTGCTTTACAGGACTCTAGGAGGGAGGGAGATATATCACCATGGAGGAAACCCATTAGTAGTCGCAGGGTCAAAATCAGCATCTTACATTCAAGGCACATACATTTTCATGAATGTGCCATCTAGACGTATCTGGTTATCTAACCCAGCGAGCCGATCCCTTACCGGATCCATTGAAAAGAGGTTCATCATCACCAGAACTCTCAAGGTCTGCTGTTTCCAAAGAAGGCACCAGGTTTCTCTTCATCCGCTGCATCACAGACATACTCAGTTAGGGGTACAGAGACACCGTAACCCCAAATATTTAGATTAAATGTCTTTCAAAGCCGTCGCCGTGTGAAAGCTATCCCTCAATCCCAGTTTGCTCTGAATTCTTTATATTGGATTGAGTACCTGAGGCTCAGGCGGAGTCGACGGCTCTGCCACCAACTCTCCAGGAACGCAGTCCCCTGTGAAGATTTGAATTGAAAAAATATCATAACTATGCATTTTATTGCCAAACAACGAACTGTTTTTGAAGTGTTATTCTATATTCTGACTATGTTCGAACAGTGATGGCAAAATCTCCCGCCAGATACTTATTCAATAAACTAATCATCATTAGACCTCTGAAGTAGAGAATGTGTGTGATAATCTGTAGTACCTTTATCCTGCTTAATGACAACAGTGTCCTCACTCATTCCCTGTTCGCTGACCAGTGTTTTGAAGTCATCCAGCACAGTGTCTCTCACAGCAAGTGTCCGACCTGAAGAGGACAGAATAATTCAGCTGAAGCAGAAACGAAAACTTTAACATCATGTTATTGGCTTCATTAAAATGTATTCATGTCCAAGAATAAGGCCTTTCTTAATAGACATGAGGCTGGAAATCCTGGGACATAAAATGTTAGTCCACTCACTGTAAAGCTTCACTGAGGTGCTGTTGTCGCCCGATATTTTCTGCTTGCTCATTATCAATATTGCGTACTCATCGTAGTTGGTGTGAACCACATAAGCGTCCACGTCCGCCTCCCACTCTGCAGAAAAGACGTAATAACTGTAAATAGTCTATGGACAAAATGAAGTGGAGGGAAAGCTGTGTCACTGCAGGAACAGAGGGAGACGTACTTGAAAGATGGTAAACGAATCGTCCTGGCGTGGTGGTCAACTCATAGTCCACATGGATCTCGTAACATGTTCCGTGTCTGAGCACATGAACAAAATAAGATACTGTGATAACATACTGGATATCTATAAAACAAAATAGACAATGTCACTTTTCAATTTGACCGGCGTGGGAAGAAGCACTTTGAGTTCAGTAAAAGTAGCAAAACCACAATCTGGAAAATTACGAGAGCTCTGCGTTCAAAATGTAGTGAAAAGGTACCAAGTGTAAAAGTCCTCAGTTGAAAGAGATTTATTTATTGTTTAAAACAGCTCAAACAGTGTTAAAGGGATAATTTATTGAATTAACTAAAGCAAATCAGAATTCTTAAATTTACATACTTTTTCTGGTTATTGAAAAAACGTTTTTTGATTTATTAAAATCTTTTAACTGTTCTTTTGGTGTGTAATGGTGTTTAAATACAAACCTCTGCATGCGTCGAGTCATCTTCAGTTTGCCTTCAGTGGTGCCAATCTGCAAAACCAGTTTACCGATGGCTGCATCTCCCGTTTTGTGTTTATGGGGATTGGTACTTGCAACAGCGACATCGTGCCACGTCCCCAAAAACTGTCAGAAACGGGTAACATAACGCGTTGACGTTTAAATGGTACGGCACACATATGGACTATAAAGAAAATTGGGGACTGTTTATTCAGTGTGCCAGATAAAAAACACTATGGACATCAAGCTCATGCAAATACGTCTCACAATCATACTAAGCTTCCGCACACAACATGTTACTTTAGACAGATGATGCAATACTTTCTCAAATGTGCTTTATGAACTTATACCAACCCAAACTTCTTCTTTTTCAACATTTTGCACTCAAACAGATTGAATTAGGTTTCATGTTTCATTCTTAACTCATGTAATTATTATAAAAGCTTAAAATGTGTCTTTGCGCTCTGCTGAGTGGGGTGAATGTCATGTTGGTTGATGGGTCAAATAACAGACGGCTATCAGGAGATTGCGGCTTATGTAATGTTTGCGCTTTTGTTGCAGTTTTGTTTTGTTTCAATTTCGTAGTAATTTTAAACTAAATCATGTTTTTATTTTCACTCAACCGAAATAAGTAACATTTGTTAAATTTTTAACATTAACAATCTGTTTTAAACTTACTGTAATCCAGGAGAAAAATAAATCTATGTATACATAATATTGTAGGACACAGGGTTGGCCTGATGGATTATGAAATATTTAAACTAATATTCAGTAAAGGTTAGTAATCCAACAGACAGAAATGGGTGGAAAAGAGGCCATATAAGTACTTTTACTTCGTCAGACTCAAAGTAGGAATTGAAAATTAACACAGGCAAGTTTGCAGAACTCACCCTGGCCAGATCAAAGTTCTCCTGCGTGGGGTAGACAGGATCTGGGAGAACAGGGACCCCCTGTAGGGTCGAGGACCACCCCACGACCAGGAAGTAAACCATAAACACAGCTTTCTGCATTCTGTCCGTCTGTCCACTCGTCTTTGGAAGGACTGACGTCTGAGGCACCAAATCTCAGGGAAAGTGCCACCTCCTCACTGTTCCTTACCGCTGTCAGCTCATCAAACGGGGACAGGGCATTGACCGATGTTGTGTGCACTCACTCCCACAGACAAGCAGAAAACAAACAAGCAAAAGAGCAAAGTTCTGCCCTCTGCTTCTGACCCTGTGCTCGGACAAACCACTGACCAAGTATACATTGGACTGCAGAGTATTTGCAAGATCATCAAATCAATACATGCTACATGCTACATCTACATCGGAGTCACTACTGAGCAACGTGATACTGTTGTGTGTGTTATATAGTATATGTGCATGGTTGTATTCTATCAGTAAATCATATGTATGTTTTACAGGGATGTGGTGATACCCGCTAGACGCAGTATCTCTTTTGCTGGGCCTCAGTTACTGCTTTCACCCAAAGGGTCTCTGACCATTTTTCATTAAAAGGACCTGTAGATTCTAAGCCAGCGCTTTAAGCCACTGAGGCATTTTGTCCGGAAACCCTAATTGACGCGCCGCTGTTGAACCATGACGGATGAATGAGAGTCCTGTAGCCTTTGTGTTGTTGAAAACGAGTCCATTTATTTGCCAACTTTACTCCTGTCACACGTTTACCATAGCGTTACATGACACTACCCAGCGTGCGTTCAAAAACTGTTTTTCCTATCCCGGCTGCAAACACCTCCCGAGCCCCCAAAGGTTCCTACCATATATAGGATGACCCGCCCACCAATCAGATCCTGACACAAATCATAATGACTCTTACGGGACCCACAACAGAGTTCCCTCCATAAATCATTAAAACAAAGACTAACAAAGACGAGCGAGAGAAAGAGTATACTGTTTTATTCATTAAAGGAAGACTGCACTGACATTTGTATCTAATGAGGAAAGTGTGATGTCACAACATAATAGTGTGGTTTGTGATGATGATGATGATGGTGATGATGATCCTTGTCCTCTTCCATTAATCCCCAATCGTTTATCCTTTAACAGTAAACAATCATTTATAATTATGCTAAAACTGTACAGAAATACAACATCTATCGTGGTTGTTTTACATCACAGCTGTTAGGATTCTATATTTAAAAGGCTTGTTGAATATGACTGCTGTATTTTTTTGCCAATATTGCTCTCCCCTCCTTTCCTGTCATCTCTCTATTTTACAAACGAAGACAAAAAATATAGAAAGAAATAATTTAATTGATGAATTATTTACAACTCTCTTCCAAAGGAATGTGTGAAAACATTGGAATTATACCTGTATCAGTATTTAAATAATGTTACCTTTAAAAGATACATAACATATTTAAACCAATAATATTACAGCAGAAAACGAATGTATATATTTAGCTCTGTCTGCACAGTTGGTGTAGTTCGTACTGTCAGCGCCGACTCAGACGCCACCATTTTGAGAGCCGTTGAGAGGTAATTAAAATGCACCCACCTCGTATAATTTACCTCTAAACATTAAGTAGCTTGTCCTCACCTGGTCAAACATTCCAATGGTCCTCCACATGTGCAGGAAACTCAAGTGGTGCCGTATTTATTTACCTCCTCCTGGGAAGAAAAAGACGGATGCTAAACATGGTGTACACGCACAACCAGTGACTGATTCATACAAACACCGGTCTGTGGTTTCAGCATGCAAATGTCCTCTCAGCTCATTACTGTGTGAAGGACTAGATGTTGACGTTGAGCTGTGTCGCCCGCTCACCTGGAACACACACACCTGGAAAGAGAGCGGTTTCTGTCATTCATGACGACAACATTTGTCTTTGTGTTTCAAAAAAGTCCCACACTGGTGAATGCAATTCATTTCTAGACCTGGTGCCGTCAGTAGTGTGTCACCTTTGTTCCGATTCATGATGATGGCGACATCGCTCACACCGTGTTGTCTGACCAGCGCTTTGAAGTCATCCAGCACAGCGGCCCCAACACTCATACTTCGACCTGAGGGAGGTGAAATTACCGTAACACAGACTGATCAGTATACTTGATTAAAATCAATTTCTACATTGACATATGGATCGCTGCAACTGTCACCCACTGTAAAGCTTGAATGTGGTTGTTTTATTTCCCGATGGTTGCTCTATGCTTAGCAGACGAATCACTGCATACTCGTCATGTTTGTAATGAACCACGAAGGAATCAACATCTGCCCTGAACCCTGCACAAAGAAAAGCGTCCACATCACCACGTTTAACTCTGCCATGTTAATATGTTATGAAAGGAATGGGCAGAATATTATACAATTAGGAGAGGAGCCTGAGAAACATACTGGCAACATGATGGAAGAATCGCCCCGTAGTGTTGGTCAAACGGTAATCAGTGGACGTCTGGTGACACGAGCCATTCCTACATGCGTGCAAACACGGCACATGGTCACACTGAATGATAACGCCTTTCAACCACTACAATGCATGCAAGTCTGACCTGAAACCAGTGGCTGTCATTGTGAAGTTGCCATCAGAGGCCCCATGTTGCAGCTCCAGGGCAACAATGATGGGGTTTCTCCTCTTACGCTGCATGTAGTGAGGACAAGTAGAAACTACTGCCACCTCATTCCACCTCCCCATGAACTGCAGGAGACACAGACATATTGTCTCCACTGCAAGCCATTGATCAAGTCAAAAATAAGCAATATGAAACCATACATTCTGCATTTTAGTCTTTTTTTTTTTTTACCTGATCCAGATCAAAGTTCTCCTTTGTGGGGATAAAAGGTTCCAGGAGCACAGGGACCGTCTGGACCATCCAGACCGAGCTGAGGACCAGCAGAGACGCCACACACACAACTCTTCCCATTGTGTCAGTCCCTCTGGAGCAGACTGACTCATTGATTGTTCGTGTTTTTTAAATCCCCTCCCAAAAAAACACACAAAAAAAAAAAATACAAGAGCAAAGATTGGATTATCTTCTAATCCCGTCATCGCGTCTCTTTACTCCGAGTGTTTGCCATCCATATAAATGAGCAATGAATCGTTGGACTTTGGAATTTGAAGCTATAACAAACAAAACGACCGATCAATACGTGTCAGAAATGAACCGCTACTAATTACTAGGAAGGCGGCCAGATATTTGTCTGCCAGTTTCCAGAATCAATTATTTCCTGATTTCTCATAGTATTATAATCACATGTGATGTGTGATATATTAGGTGACATAGCCTTAATAATAAAACCGTAGTTCTCTGCAAAAAGCCCTCTTGCAGTCAGGTGCAATCTCTGCCCTCTGGTGTTCAAACTGTTGATTGAACACGCGTTCACATACATACACACACATAAACAAGCAAACACCCAGTCTGGAGATTAATATGGTTTATTTGACTACGTCCGCTCAGATTACATTCAGAATATTAAACAAACAAAAAAAGGTTGGTGATTAGGGATTTTGTTAATTAAATAGCCTGGAGATAAATATTGTTTATTAAAGTAACAGTGTGAAAATGTACGCCACCAGATAAGAGAGAATGACAAGTGCATTTCATCACCGATATTTGCTATTCATCATCCTTGTTAGCGGAGAGAGATCTCGGGAGTAATACATTCTACAGAGTATATTCTAGTAAAAAGTGAACCGGCAGACAAAGAGCAGCAGGTCAGGATACTCATGCCGCCGTCATCTCAGGTACATCCGGGAACCTGCAGGGAGACACACAGACTCAGTTACGCCGAAGATGTGAAGTCACTCACATGCTTGGAAGTTAAAGACACAAACACTCACCTAACGCCCAGATCTTGATGGTGGGCAATTTTCTGTTGGCCAGAAAACATAAAGGAGAATTCAGCGTCGCTGCGCTCTACCCCTTATCTGTGTGTGTGCACTGCCATGTGCTCCGCATACTGTACCTGCTGGCGGTGGAGTCAGAATTGAGTCTCTGGGGAAACCTCGGGACACGGCGAAGGCCTTGAACTTCATTATCGTATCATTCCGGACTGTTTGCGAGCGACCTGGAAACAAGAACAAGCACACGCGTAGTGAGTGTCGCCTCTGTTTTCTAACGTGCTTGGATATGATGTAAACACGAGTCTCACCGTAAAGCGCCACCTGCGTGTACTCTCTGTTAAAAACCTTGTGTTTGAGAACCACGGCGTAATCAGTGTAGTTTGTGTCCACCACTGTGATGTCCTTCACCATGTTATGGCCTGACAGAAAACACAACACACAAGTGAAGGACAAAGGCTTCCATGTCTTTCGGTATTAAATAGTAACTAAACCAGAAAAATATGACGATTAATGCAAATCCATGTGAGTGACCCTGTAACTTTTTAGAATATATTATAAAATCTGTAAAGTAGAATAACCTTTAGGGTGAAAAAAATCAACCATATTAAAACATTCATCTGCATGCTTTTGTAGTTTGCTTGCTCCAATACCGTCCGCAAAATCCCGAATTCAATGAATTTCCTGCAATTTGCCGGGAACCTCCGCTGCAATAGAGTACCACGAAAATATTTACATTGTAATTGAGTAAAGTCACAGAGGTTACTGAAAATGGGTTCCTCTCTCGTCAGGGCGATGAGTTAAAATTAGAAAAGAGGAGACTCACGTGTGCTGAAGTACGTGAACTGTCCAGGTACGCTGGTCTTCTCATAGTTGTACACTTTCCTCTGACAACCTAAAGGTCTGAAGCACAGAGGGGAAACACGGCCTTTGTCATTTCCTAAACCACTTCCCAGTTTCCTCTCTTCTTTGACCAACGCATGCACTTCTGCGGCCACACAAACACGTACATCTGCACCACACGTCACAGGCACGCAGACTCACGTGGCGTCCCACATGGTGAGGTTGACGTTGCCGTTTGGCATGGCGGTAATGACGCCCATGGAGGCCTTCACTTTGTCTCTGAAGGGGGTAAAACTGGCAGAGTCATAGGCCAGGCCCACACGGTACCATCTCCCTGCAAACTAAACACACGCAAAGACTTAAGGTTAGAAAACACCAACACAACACTTGTTGTGCACATTTCCTCCCCCCCCATTTTAAACACATCCCAGTAAAAAAAGCCAAACCAAATGTTTTTCAGTCAGTCAGTTTCTTAAAATGAGCAGAGCCCCCCTCAGCCCCTCCCTCTTGTTTGTGGCTCTCGGCCCAAAGGCCAGTGCTTCCTACTGAGGCCATTCCGGGTTAGGAGGTGAACAGCGCTTAGGGACTAGTGAGTGTTTAAAGAAGCAGTATGTCGGATTGACTCCCACTGAAATACAGTGCCCTGGTTTAGCAAATTGAAATGATGAATGATCAGGTTTTAACATTTAATAGACTCGATGGAATAAACTATATAAGGCTTTGCGGGCAATACTCGTTGGTAGGATTAATTAAATAATGCTTTGGGGATTTTTTTAATGCAATTTGTTGCAAAAAATAAAAAATAAGTCTTTTTTTTAACGCATACATGCATTTTCTGTCTGAAACAAGTGAGCTTCATTTGCAACAGCATTTCCTCACTTATTTAGACCCCGTAAAAAATGGACCTTTGGGGAGACTACAGAGGTTGCATTCTCCTGGAAGTGATTAAGAATTTTCCCCATTTGCTGCAGGCATTTTCCCTTCTAGGCTGTATAGCTAAACAATAGACAAAAGAGATCATGCCGACACATGAACCGCCACCAGAATGGCAAGCAACTGATAAATATGGAACCCCAGGGATATTTAGAATACTTCAGAGTTAAATCCAGTACCAAATCAGCCACAGGAAACAAAATAGGACATTTGTCTCTCTCACACACACACAGACACACACACACACACAGTGTTCCATTACTGATGGAGTCTGTGAATAACGAACAAACGTCAAACTGATTCAAACACATTAAAGACCCCTACAACAAAAGCTTGTATACGTGTGTGTGTGTGTGTCAGTCTCACCATCCGCAGGTTGAAATCTCTCTGAGGCTTCACGTCTGCGTCCACCACCATCCCGAACAACATCACTATGACAACAGCCAGCGCAGTGGTCCTCATGGCTGCGAGGAGAACGGAAGCGGCAAAGTGGATTCGGGCTGAATGGCGGGGAGAGGGTATCTGACCCGAGCCTTGCGAGAACTGTCGGCAGTCAAAACGGACGACACAGACTGGCAGAGCCTGTGGCAATGTTTGTTTTTCTCTCAATCCACCCACCTGGTTGTCAGCCAATCACCGCTGGAGATCAGGGAACAGTGGCCAAAGTGTTGAGGATGTGTGGTTCAAAAACAACCCCGACTTCCCTTCCCCAGAGGCCTGGTGACGCCTGTGGCGTCTCTGAACCAGCTGAAGCTCATGCGCTGCACTCACGAGCACAGACACACACCGGCTTCACATGACACCGTCCCGCACGGATAAAAGAAAGAGGAAACGCTCTGTATTTCAATCCCTGACACTGTTGGAACACAGTCTTAGCAATGAAGCACTTTAAAATACGGTAAAGGTTCCGCATTCAGAAGTATGAACAACAAGGGCATCAACAGCAATGGCTCCTGGCAGTGCTGCATTTCTGCATGTAAAATGCAGCCTGTCAAAAATAATCTAGGCGAGTAAAAGGAACAATGTGTCTCTTTTCCTTTTGAAAAGTGGCATAAAATTGACTTAAGCCGGCGACAGCACCTTTTAAGGAGGATACGGTCTTAACTCTTGGCCTAAATTGAAAACTATAGTATAAAATGCTACTTATGTAGCATCAATGATAAATGAAACAACAGGACATTTAATAACACTTCTCAAAATTCAAGGTAAAGCAAAATAATAAAAAACTAAAGTATTTCAGCTTGAGTAGTTTGACATTACTAAAATATATTCTCTAAATATCTAAATATCAAACAAGCTGTGCAGGCATTTCCTTGTTTTACAAGATATTGAGGTCGTATCTGATGCCTCCTTTTTTCTAATTTGAGTACCAATTCTGAAAAATGCAAGAATTTTCATAATGCTGTTTAAATTACAAAGACCATGGACTGAATTACTTTTTGTACTTCTAGTTATACACTTGTATGAATCTAATTATATTGTTATGAATCTATAATAAGAAAAAAACTTGACATGTTGACATGACAACAATCAAGAGCGCGAGTGAACAATTTAAATAGTTTTTATTAATAATGATTTCCCATTTGCAGCACTGCTCTTATCTCATTTTCTTGAAATGCATGGTGCATACAGCAAGTTCAGTGGACAAGAGGACATCAATGTACTGTGTTTGGCGCGCGCGCACACACACACACAGCACACCTCACACACCTCCCCTACACACTCTGCACAGCGAGAGCCGCCGCTTGTGCAATGAGACAAAAACAAAAGAAAAGGAAAGGGCGACATGGGGGGGGGAAATAAACGAAGAAAAAGTGCAAAAAGCAGTGTGAGAAAATGTTGATCAGGAGGCATGAGGGACAGCGAGACCTGAGGCACAGCCAGGGTTTCTGGATCACGAACACCATGGCCCCCCCAAATAAATGCATTTGGTAGCAGGGTTTACAAGGACAGAGATGTTCTCTCGAACTTTTCAGATAAAAGGACATGGCGCCCCCTTCTGGTCAAACATAAACCTCAACAAACCCCGTCCCACAACACCGCCACTCTCATGAGGCCTGCAGCTGACTCGTCTGGTTTGTAATGGACTTTCAAAATAACATCTATAAGCCAGGAAATGGAAATTTGATCAGTCTATCATTGCACCAATTGGATCCAGAAAAAGTTGCTCCCTGGCTGTTTTGCGTTCATAAAAAAAGTTGAAAAACTCAACTGCCATTCGATTGTCTTACACTCATGCATGGATCCTGTTTTTATACACACACACACACACACACACACACACACACACCAAATCACATGATTTCACGCCAAGAAAACAAAATCAAATACATATAGCAGTGAAACAATCAAGTATAATGAACAGTTCCATTCAAAAAATAAATAATTTAAACCCATTTCAAACAAGAACATGGAAACATCTCATTCAGTGCTCTGCTGTGGGCCTGTTCAGGGCGGACCCCCCCCCCCTCAGCCACAAGCTTCATAACAGCCAAACGGTGCAACCTTTACTTGACAACATCATCAGAATCATTGGTCACTCATTCGCTTTTTCAGACATTCATCAGCACATTTCACACTCACCATTAGATGACAAATAAAAGTGAAACAGTGACTCATTTAACCCCAGAGGAGGCAGAGACGAATCCACAGACTATGCACAACACGCATCGGCAAAAAATATTTCAGAACAGCGTTGGGGAGTGTAGTTGGAGCTTTGTGTGACGAGACCTCTTGAACCTCAATCAGAACACTATATGAGCTCCGAACAGGAAAGATGTTTTCACCGTTGTCGGAATATTAGTAGGCAGAACCCTGGCTGCGAGGGTTAGGACGGCACAGAGGGGGAGGAAGGTCAAGATGAATTGAAAGGATCGGGCTGATTGGAAGACAGATGATGACTGCGTAAAAGGAAAATTAGCAAATGGAGACTTGGGTGCACAACATCTGTAAGACGACCAAAAAACAAAAAAACAGGACCAGAAAAAGACCAGAGGAGACAGACAAGACGCTGCGACAGCTGCCTCGCAAAACACGGACTCTCGCCCCAAAGAAAACATCAACACAACCTTTTCCTGCAGCTGGCAGGACGGAGGCGCCGGTCGGCGGGCTGCCACGGACCCTTCAGAATAAAACGTACATCAGCTGCCATACTTTGGGCTAGTTTTGCGAGGCTGCAGCAAAAAAAGGACATTTAGAGCTTGGGTGGGACAGAGGGTGGAGGAAACGGGTCTAACGGCGGGAAGCACACCGTGTGTGTGGGGGCCGGGCCTGTGGATCTGGGAGGTGAACTCACAGTAAGGCACAGTGCTCTGCTTGTAATGGTTGATGATGCGCATTCACGCTACCGCAACTACGGATGACAGCGACCGCAAACAATTGACAAACGGACGATTTACAAAGCACGTGTTCTCTTGTTGTTCTGCTCTTCCGTTTCCACGGCGATGACAACGTCCTTCCACGACGGGCTTGAATCTTTGGATCTCTCGGCGCTCTTGAATCTGGCGGTACATCCCCCTCCTCCGGAGTATCGCTGAAAACACGAGACCTCGTTGATCAGACGTTTTGGTGCTTCTTCTTTAGTCAAGTCTTCTTCATATGTTTTTCAGGAAGAACGTACACACATACACACACACACTGTATGATGAGACTACCTTGGAGGACAAAACCTGCACAATACAGCCACACAAACGCACTGCATGTCAGCTCAGTATTAAATCCCCGTTTATGGAAACAGCCCAATGTGTTTGGCCCATGGTTGATTCAGTCAGATCACTTGACTTTGTGTTCCAGCAGCTGATAGAAAATTCTGCAACTTTGCATTTTTGAGGACTCCGACAGTTATTAAAGCACAGGTTTTTGGATACAAGCAAAAAAAAAAAAAAGGAAAGCTTTCACAAAAACATCAAATAATAAAAATGTCATATCATCTTAAATACGCAAAAGTAAACACTACAACTTAAATATTTTTGGTGTGACGTAGACATATTTAAATACAGGTCTTTGTTTTATATCAGCTGTCATGTGGTGCGGCTGATTATTGCACTGCGCACGCTGGAGCCCCGTTTCACTTCAGCAGATCTTTCAGCTTTAACCACTGGTCTAATTTAACGTCTGCAACAAAGGCTTCCCTCACTCCGACATGCTGTTCCCTTTAAAAAACAACAACAACAACAACCACCTTGGTATACTTTGCTTATTTTCATCTCAAGCTCTGTGGAACATGGGGGAGGGATTTAATTTAAGACAATGATACCAAATAAGTGCCAGAAACGTTATAAAGTTAACCTCGAAAAAGCTGACGCTGTCATGCAGGCTTGTCGCGGCTGATTGTGCAGGGGAAGTCCAGTCTTTAGCGAAACAATATTACAGATTAGAGAGAAAGTCCAAGTCCTCATAGGTTCCTCCATTGTCCAACACAAACACTTTTTGTACAGTTTCCATTTGACTTCTTAACATCATGTGGATAATTCAAGTCTGTGGATATCTGTAGTTTATAGTTGACAAGGCAACTGCTTCACAAATCCCCCCCTCGGGTGTCCCTCGGGTGGACCGGGATGGACGGGCGCGGCCTCTCGGGCCCCGTGTGGCTGTGAACGGTGGTTTCAAGCTATCAAATACCAGGTTTGTGCCTCTCTCCGTGCTTGCTGACGTAGCGAGAGGAGTTGCTGGGGACGGATGGGGTGGTGGTGTGTGTGTGTGTGTGTGTGTGGAGTGCACAAGACTGCTTTTAGGGATTTTAAAAGTGTTTTGCGGAATACAATGTGTGTAGGTGTAAATGGGCCTCTGAGTATGCATGGCTATGACTTTACATGTGATCGATTATGGGGGGACATGGTCCTGCTTTCGACATCTTGGTCTTCTCTTCTGCATCAGTGGGAGCGTCCATGTGTGCACGTGGAGATGAAGTGGTCGGCCCGCCCATCACAATTTGTGTTTTCCTGATAATATGGAGTGGTAAAGCTCCTCGTTCAGCTGCGCGTAAGACCCTGTTCTGGAATCCATGAAGTAAAGTCTGTCCGTCACACTGCAGGGGTCAAAGCCGTCGCGCCGCAGGTCCGTCTTCTGAAACTTGAACGTTCCTGAGAAAGAGACAAGTCTTTTTAGGCATTTCATTTTGCTAATTGAGCTGACATTAAACCGTCTACCACAGGGCCTGTGTCCAGTTGCCTCCAAGTAGCTTTACAGCAGACAGCCTCGATGACTCAGTATGAGTTCATGCATCTCCTGGTTGAAAACTAGAAACAGACGCTACGTGGACACGGGCCCCGGGATGACTTTACTTCACTATTTTAAGCCTTGAAATCTTGGTTTCAGCTTCTTACCGCATTTTAAATGCGGTGTTTACAAAATTGTAACCAACAATTTGACTCTATATCAAACTTTTAAAAGTTCTATAAAACTAAGACCCATCACAGGTCAGCGAAGAAGGTTAGAGGTGTGATTCATAGCCCTTCAAAACGGTTGGCATTTATTATAAAGAATCAGCAAAAGGAAAATTCTACCTGTCTTGTTGACCTCCGCAAGGAACCTAAGGAAAACCGGTCTGGCATAAGGAGGGAGAGCCTTCTCCATGTCCTTCACGAACTTCACCAGGTCAGTGGAGTGAGTCGGATCAGCGATGGCGGCCATTCCGGCCTTTCCTTCTGCTCCTGCGCACATAGAAATGGAACATGTCAGAGAAGTTATCCATTGGTCAGATAAAATATATCGAATATCTCTTGGTTGTGTTGTGGCATTTGTTGTCTGCAATGATCTGTTTGACGTGCATCTCCTGGTATTCCACACCCATCATGCCACACTAGCTTTGGGGGATCAAGTTTTCTAATGATATGTTGTAATTAATCTAGTCAGAGTGGTGGGATTCCCTTCAAACAGATACTACGCCTGTTATTACTATAGTACTATAATTTACCTGGTACTTCCACTCCATAGACAACTACATCTTTCATGTCTAAAAGCCGGCTGAGCGTCCCCTCCACCTCTGTCGTTGAGACGTTCTCTCCCTTCCACCGGAAAGTGTCTCCTGTACGGTCCTTGAAGAACATGTGGCCGCAATCGTCCATGATCAACACATCACCTGGTGAGAGAACGGGGGAGGGGGGGGGCATAGATCATATTCAGCGGTCGGGCATGGAGTACAATGAATGACTCAATACTGTACGTATACGTGAGTGTTTCTAACCAGAGAGATAGGCACTGTCTCCCTTCTTGAAAACACTCTGAGCAACCTTCTTGCTGGTCGCCGATTGGTTGACGTAGCCGTCAAACCTCCGAAGAGGATCATTTTGAATGATCCTGCCAACCAGCTGCCCGGGTTCACCTAGAAGGAAAAGGGAGAGGGAGAGAACATGAACGTATGGAGGTATAACTGCCTAATCGTGTGATTTCCCACACATTAAGTGGATTGTTTCAGAAAGAACTAAATGTCTGACTGCTAACCCTAAAACTATAAACACAACACAAGGCAATCACTGTAAGTTTGTTGAGGCCTTGTTGTGTACTTATTTACCTTTGAGCTGTGCGTTCAACCCACTTCCTCAGCCAGTAACTTTGAATGTCAACATTTCCATAAAAACAACTGCTGTGTGCGTTGTGATGGACGTGTAATCATACGGAGTCTTCAGTCGAGTCACACAACCACAGTGTGTACGTACTTTTAAGTTTACCGAGTGTAAAGATGGCGTTTGAAAGGTGCTTAGATCAAACCCACCAGGTTTGCAGGGAATGCAGACGCCATCCGGGCCCCTAATGAGCTCCATGGTCTCCTCGTCAACCCTCACCAGCCGGATGGGGTAGATGAACGGCAGGATCTGACTGTTGAAGCCGCATGCGCCAACCTAGAGCACCAACACAACATTGTTCACGAGGTTAACGGCTCCCGAGGGGCGTGTTGCCTTGAAACGTGAAAACAGCATTTTGAGTGAGCGGTGGAAAACGCAAAAAAACTCCAGACAGAAAAACAAAAGAATTACCCAAAGCCTGTTTTGGTCAGAGTCAGAGGTTCAATTCCCCACCTTGTTACCGAAGTTGCCCAGGCTGCAGTTGCACTCTGTGGCTCCGTAGAACTCTGCGATCTGCGGGATGTTGAAGCGGGTCATGAACTCCTCCCATATGGACTGCCGCAGGCCGTTGCCCAGTGCCATGCGCACTCGGTGCTGCTTCTCGGTGTCCCGGACCGGCTGGTTCAGCAGGTAACGGCAGATCTCCCCGATGTACTGCACAATCTGGACGAGAATGGAGCACAGCGGCGGTGGGAAAGAAATTGATAAGCGATGAGACTGAACACATAAAAAGACTCAGCATTGATTCAATAGCAAGTTTACAATAGTGAGATAAAAGAATCACAGATTAACTGGGAGAGGAATTTGAAACCTTGAGATTATTTCAAAAGAAAACACGTCTTCGGACCGAGATCGTGTTGTTCTACTCAGCTCACGATGATGATGATGATGATGATGATCGTTACTCACAGTGCAGTTGTATTTGGCACAGTCGTCCCAGAAACGCGAGGCAGAGAACTTCTTTCTGATGACTACGCTCATGCCGTGGATTAAGCACTGGCCCACTCCCACAATGTTACCTGCGGTAACAAAATAAGGAAACATTGTCACGATCATAACACGTTTGGCTCAAGATGAGAACCTAAAAATACACAACATGCAACTTGTAGAAGAAGTCAACTGTGACAGAAAAGACACTCACTTAAAAACATAAGTCAACACTACTTTGCTGCTAATTTTAGCTTCATCCACTATCTTTGGCCTGATGCAGCTTGAAGCCAAATTAACCATGACGAACATTATAAGGAACTCCGCCGATGCAACAAAATTCTTTGATTTAAAATGATAAAATATCAACTCTAATCCCCCACATGGATGGTTTACCTGCAGAGTGGTAGAGCGGAAGGCAATCATACAGCACGTCATCTGAAGTCATCTTAAAGCCATAATATACCAAGGCTGCCATGCGGTAGTACCTGAAAACCGGGAGTGGGTCAAAAACAATTCAGAACAAAACCAACAGGTTTTATATAGTTCTCTTCCATTCTCTTGTGACAGTGTTCATTCTACACTTGAAAGCGACATGGATCAACAAAGAAAGCAGCTGCAGAATTCCTGTGTGTCTGTAAGTACGCCGCACGGCGCCGTCATACCTGCTGTGCACGACAATAGCAGCTTTTGGCATCCCAGTGGTTCCTGACGTGTAGATGTAGAACAGGCGATCTGGGGAGAAAAAAAAAAGAAAGCAGGGTGAGTGAGGAAACCAAAAATGTCAACGATTCCGGCGGCCGTGCACTCACACGTGTACAAATAAAAGCGCTGTGATGTTTAAACGCGTCACATTTTGAAGAATGTGCAGGAGTGCAAATGCTCAGCTTCGATCCTTAATTAGAGGCCTAATAAAGTTTTGATTGAAAACTAATTTTGAAGAAGGGACATCACTGAAGGGTGGAAGTAGAACAGAGCAGAATCTATAATTAAGACGGCAGGATCCAGTTCAGACACACACTCCTGCATCCAGATGGACACAAAGTGGATTTAGATTCAGTTGAGGGTTTCCCCGGAAACCACTTTCCTGCTCTCAAACCACAGAACAGATTAAGTACACCGGTGAGCCCAGAGTTCTGGATTATGGTGGCTATGTGCAACCTTAAACCAGCTACAAACCCCTTCAAGAGAGTGTTTTGGCATTGGCATATCGGCTGAGCAGGTGCAAAGACTTGCCAAAGGTCACAGGTTTTATTTCCGCGGCGGTGTGCGGTTCAAGAGCAGAAGTGAGTGATCACGTTTCTTCTGGCTGGTTTGTACTCATGTGAGTAGGGTTTTTTTTTATGGTCTATATATTGCAAAGCCCTCAGGGCTAAATGTGTCACACAAACACACTTTCGATGATTTGACTGACATCATAGACTCTTAATTCATTCTCCTGTTATGACCCCGTTCGCGGTCTTACCAGTGAAGCAGCGCTGCGGCCGGCTGGGCAGGTGGGTCGGGGCGTTATCCAACAGAGGCTCCAGGCACTCGGTCCCCCGCGGCACCCGCGTGGGGTCAAAGTCTCCCAAACAGAACATCTGCACGGCTTTCCCCATCAAGCCGTGGACCTCCGACACGGCTACGAGTGGGAAAACACGTGAACGGAAGGTTCGTTACATTTCACCATCACGAATTACAGGAGGCCGTCGCATTTAAGCACCGCGGCAGACAAAAGGACAAAGGAGGCTGAGGGCCGAGTGATCGGGAACCGGATATGTTGACGTAACTAAATAAAAAAGGTGAGCGAGAGAGACAACAGGTGCAGAACGACCAAAAGGCGCGAGTGTATCAATACGTTAGAAGGGAGCAGAAGATTTCAAACAGCTCTCCTACGTTCCCCAGTAAAAAAGAGAACGTGCGTTGATTTAAAAGCCTGACGTCGTGCTGACTCGGTATTAAATGCTGCTTGCTCGACTTTGCCCTTCTCGGTAGCAAAGAGGCTGCATTTCCAATTACTTAAAAAGGTATAACGCACATGACGAGCTCTCGATCCAACGAAAACACTGATCCGTCAAACCTGGGATGAAAAGATGAAGAAGCTCATTATAGCTGATCAGATAAGGGCTTTTCAGATTGAGTAGGGACCCAAAAAAGGCTGATGAGATTGAAAAGGAGCGCTAATTCAACTAAGCTGTAGCAATTTCATGTCCGAGCAACATAATTAATACACCACAGGTTAGTGTATTAGAACATTTAATTAGTTCTATTTGTACATTTAAAAACAAACAAATACACACACCCTAATTAAATGTATGAGCTTTACTACTGATCCCCCCCCCCCCCTCCCACATGGGATTAACCTATCAACAGAGTTTGGCAAGGAGTTTATTTTTCAGGAGAGTCATTAAATAAGAATCCTATTACTCCGCTCTTCTAATACCAGAATCTCCTAGTCGCTTGTACTGCTCTCAAAATGCATTTCATCCGGTTTCAATTGATCCCAAACCATAACTAATCATTCTATAAAGAAAGTCCTGCCGCTAGTGCGTCAATCCTTCGCTCACCTTAGGAGCTCAGACCGTCAAATAGGTTGCTTTATGAAACTGAATGCTATACTACTCAAATGATGTACACGCTGTATTATACATTAAGCTTAACATTGAATTGATACTCGACTTCGAATCCACTTTATTTAATAATTCACCACTACTCTTCCCTGACAAATTTATTCCTTGAACCCGGCGGATGGATCATGGAGATAATTCCCAAACTCCCTCCTTCCGTTCCCTCAGCCATCTACAGCTCCACTGGCTGATATCGAAGAGGCGCGTTCCCTGAAGCCCATCTATCTTTTATGACCTCTTGTGCTGCCTCTCTGCACCACTCACCTCTCTCGTCACAAAGGAAAACACAACAGCAGAAATCAGTGCTGTACAGATTGCGAAGCCCTCTGGGATAATCTTCACATTTTTTGGTCTATAAACCTGACACATTTACAACCATAACAAACAAACTCTGCCCACATTGGCCTCAGATGTTTGTCTAATCTTGATCGCCGGATATCTCCCTCCTCAAATCCTCCCGGCGCCTACCTTCATTCAGCTCGGAGCCAAACACCACAGCCTTGGCGTCGGAGATGGTGACGCAGTGGACCAAGGCCTCCAGCCTCAAATTGAAGTTGATGAGAGCCGCCTCGACTCCGATTTTGGCCATGCCGAGCCAGAGGCCCACGTACTGGGATCTGTTCTCCATGAAGAGAGCCACAACGTCGCCATCCTGGGGAAAGAGGAAGAAAGGCAAAAAGGGGGCGGGGCTTGAATGGCCGAATGTCACACACTGAAGTTCATTTTTATGAACGCGTGTCCAAAGGGTTCATGGAAGACGCGTCCCCCCCCCACTCCACTCCATCAGGAATATGTTGTACCTTGAAGCCCCTTTCCAGCAGCAGGTTGGCCACTCTGTTGGAGTACTCATCCAGCTGTCGGAAGGTCCACGTCTCCCCGGTCCCCTCGAAGATCAGTGCCGTCTTGTCCCCGTGGCGGGCCACCGTTTCAGCAAAGATCTTGGGAATGGTGTTCTTCTCTTTGAGGTGGCGTCTGACATTCATCTTCACCCGCAACAGCACGTATGCCGCACTAAAAGGAGAAGAATAAAATATTAGGGCAACTCGGTAAGAGTTATAGAAACTCTTTCAGGCATTACTCTGTGACAATGTTAGGATTGTTGTAGCAGTCGAGTCCTCCGCACAGTAAAGGAGAGAATTGAAAAGGCGAGAAATTGAAGAAGAAACTTTGGATGATGCAAAAGTGCTGGTTATGTCAGTAAAAAAGGGTTGAAATTGATCATCAACACCTGTAGTTGACCAAGTAAGGTCATCAGTGCGGTGCAGCAATAACAAGATGCATAAAACGGAAATAAATGGGTACGTCCCGGGGCAAAGTCCACCTTCAGTGGAAGGATGTCACTTGATCATTTACATCTATTGTGCAAAGGCGAGATAATGGGCACAATCCAGAGCACTGTATCACTACACAAACATCACACAAACCTGCAGTGCAAAGTCACCTCACATGTGCACTGTGGTCCGGATGACATTTCATTTTTAAATCATTACATGGGATATTGTCTTCATGGCGGTCCAGATAACCATTATCGGTTATTGCACGGTTGTTTCAGTCATTAGAACACTCAACTGTTTTCTATCGTTGGCAAAGGGACCTTTGGAACAATCTTTAATGAATGTCTCATACTGAAACTGCACCATAATGAAGAAAAAGAGGTTTTACGCCTACACTAAACCACTAAGTGAGGATCATCGCTAGTTGAATAGTGGAGGTTGGTTTAGCTAACAAAGGCATTAAAGGTGTGAACCAGACTGATTCTTACAGTTGAAATTCCTACGCCATGTCACACATTACAAGATAGCAATGAGTCACCGGGGGAAAGGTTATGCTTTTACAGTCATACATGGTACAATTTTAACCTTCAGCCATTATCAATATATGGACAAATAATGACAACGCTATAAGAACTGCACTTATGTGAGTATGGGGTATTTGTAAGTGAGCTTGCACAGAAATAGGCAGCTGAAGGTGTAAGGGAGGATAGATAGCGGTTATGATGACAATCCACCCGCATGCCTTTAACACAGAGCCCTGGAGTCTGTGCTTTAAAACTCTGGTAGGAAATGAGAGAGCAGAGGACATTTTTTTGTACACAACGGGTCACAGAAGCTCTGATTACTTCTGGTTTGGTCACTCGGGCTTATGTGTCACAGAGAGGTCATAAACCCTTTTACAGTTTCCTGTTTTACTCAAACTGCAGCAAGGAAAGAAAAAAAAAGGAAGTTAATCACAAACCAAGCACCGTGGTAACCCCAAAATGTAAACATTGTCTCTCGGTAAGACGGTTGAGATCTGCCCTCTCATTCTACTGTCCTTTTGTGTAATTCAGGCTAACTGCCATGTCAAGTTTTGCGACGTGCACAAAAGGGGCATTCAGCTGGTTGCTAATACCGGTTTTAAAAGCAGCCCTGCCTAGGGAGAGCCTTAACTTCTTCCAAGCTGGTTTACAAACATGTACGGCTACATTTTATGCCAAGTTACACATGCGAAGGCACTTAACTTTTAAACGCTCAAAGAAATCACGTCCTCTCACCCAACTGATGCATTACTGCTACATCCTTATAATACATGACACCGAACCTTTGAAATAATCCATTCTCATTTAAGTGTGTGTGTGTGAGAAATTTGAACTTGCGCAACCATAATGAATGAACAGTGTAGGAATAACAACACATTCTATAAAGAAGCTGATTAGCCTCGTTGTTTTTAACACTTGACTGAGACCATCATCGGACTCCACCTGGATCACATAACAATAAACAATAAACTACTTCTAATGCACCAAGACGCTGAGCTGGTTTAAAAATACCAAACGAATACGAAAAGTAAAGCAATGATTTGAAATGCCTCAAAGGAAAGCGTTCAAATGATATGATGTACAGGAACCGTGCCAACACACACACACAAAATCCCAGTGCTTACTGCAAGTCTCTGCCAACTGTCTTGGCGAAAATCTTCAGGAAGCTCCATCCTCCGGTTCCCAGGTAGAAGATGAGGATGGCCGGCAGAACCTGGAACCAAGGCAGGCCCACCAGCAGCCTCAACACAAACAGCAGGGCCGTGGAACACGCTAGACGCATCATCCTGAAAGAACGCACAATCACGCATGAACATAAACGAACAGATAACGGCGACTACTCACAAACAGTTCGGACCAGACATCAGTTCAGCGGGAGAAAGGTTGAGGTAAACAACGAAAACAAATGTTAACCACTTTAAGGATGTAATCTACGGTACTTGTTTGGTAAACTGACTCTGGTACAATAAACTGAGTGTAAAAAGTTTAACGAATTGTATTTTGTCTCAGAATTAAAACAGAGAAAATCCTCGGGATTTCTTTTCTCTCGCAGTTGAGTAAACACACGAGGCGAGGGAGACCTTGGGGGAAGCGAGAAGTCAAAGCAAAGTGTTTTTAGCGACAGCACCTGATCGCTCAGACGATGCTAAACGATGCGTTCAGGTACAACACACAGCAGCCTGTGTGGAAGACAGATGAATCAAAAACAAAAACTTGCAGGACTGGAATTTCACAACATGCGAGCAATTTGAAGGACATCCGTTTTGCGGCAGAAGGCCGTTAGCGTTTTTTTTCTTCTTTTTTTCCCCCCTCGAGCCAAGATGCTGACTGGATGTTCCCCCGCACGAGGCTGCAGTGATGATGGTGGCCCCTCGCGTCCCACGGATCGACGCGGTTGGGGCTAATTGTAACAGGGGGATGTGGGAGGGGGGTCGAGAGGTGAAACCACAATACCAACCGCGAGCGCTGCACCAAAAACGGAAACGAGAAGCTTCATCGCTCCCTGCCGCTGCACCCGGAAATCCACGAGACAGCGCGTAGCATCACATTGCGCCAGTGGACGCGCCTCGCCGTAACCCGCGCGCCATGTGCGAGGGGGCCCGCGTCCACGCGGCACAGGACGGCGTCCGTCGGGCTATAACCCTGACGGTAAAGGGAGGAGGGGGGTGTCGCGGTAAACAGGCGCGCCTGGGGGAGCAGGATGCGCACCGGATCGCGCGCATCGGTTGTTATCCGGGGCGGCGGACGGGCAGTGCGAGAGCAGCCCCCCCCCCCCCCACCTCCCTTTACAGGAGATGCTGAATATGCAAGTCCACGTTCACGTTAAAATGACTGCGCGTGGACCGAGAGCTGACCCCCCTCCCCAAGTGGCCGCGCCACCTCTCGAGTCCCCGTCAGTTGGGTCTATCCGCCCCCAAAGTTTGACAAAGACATAGTCCCAGGCCGGGCTGTCTCTTTTGCCTCCCTCCTAGCATGCAGGGCCAGCCGTGAAGCCGAACATCGTTGTTTTTTTCTTTCCATTATTCTTTTTTTTGTGGGGGGTTACATACGCACCTGGTTACCGCCGTCACAGCATGAAGGTGCGCGGAAATCCAAGACGTGAAACCCGCGTATTGTGTCGCGACGCCGCGTCCCTGATCGGCTTACAGGCCCGTCTTCTTCTGCCCGACAGCGGCTCACAGGAACGCACGCAGAGACGGACACACGCACACACGCACCGGGATCCCCTCCTGCTGCTGCTGCTGCTGTAACACCGCGATGAGCTGTGGGTCCGCGCGCCTCGACTTTGACCCCGCGATCATCATCCGTTCATCGCCGTTCAATTATCGATATCATATCTGGGATCGTTCGCAGGCAATAAGCTCGCTAGCAACCGCAATTCAAATGACCTTATAATTTTCTTAGCTTACGCCCGCCCCCCGGCCGTCAGCGTCCCAACCCGGCGTGTCAGAAACGAGCGCTGACGGACAGGCATCTGGGCCAATCGCGGAGGGCGATTCTTTCTACGTCCCATCCCGCAGGGGGGCGGAGTTTGCGGCTGCTGCCGGAGAGGGGAAACGCGGCGCGGCCCCGTTTTCACTCCGCGAGATGCGTTTCAAACCCGGTAGTGACGAGGATGCGGATCCGTGGGGCTCAGAGGGACGCGCGTTCAGCGCGCATCGGTCAACTGTGATGCAACGAGCTAAAAGTGAGCCTGGTCCATTGTTGTAGCTGCCACCGAGGACAGGGATGTCCCACTTGAACCTGCAGGCATTCTCTTGCAATTGCAAGCCTTCAGTTGTCTCTGCAAAAGAATACATGTGAACATACAGTGGGCGTGGCTTACATTTACTTTAAATACAATTTTGACATGTGTTGTATCTGGGACAACATGCAAAAAAAAGTGATTTTTGATAACGTCTGAAGGCAAGACAAGTTTTATGATAGCAACGGGACATATCATGAAACAGTGATTATCAGGGAAGATTGCAGAACTTTTCCACAATAATAAGGAGATAAGGAGAAGTCAAGGCTTTAAATGTATTACTTGGGTTTAACTGATAAACAATCACACTGTATATCTACCACTTTGACCCCAGTATGTCAGCCGGTAAATGCGTGTTAGGGGATCAAAAAAAAAAAATCTGGATAAGAATAAATTGGATGGCCTTTGACCTGCAAATGAGATAAAAAGAGCATGCCTACTTTTTCCACCTTTCACCCCGTCAATTCAACATGAAGGAACAGACGACCATTGACCAGAAAACACACAGCCAAGAAGAGCATCATCAGGGTCCTACTATCAGTCCCAGGGGACACACTATCAGTGGTTCTCAGACCGATAAAAGACACGCCCAGTGAATTATGCTGCCAGCCTGGGGTTTAACAACTATACTGAACATTTCTGGGCAAGCAAAACAGCATCATGGACGTTTTTTTTAAATAAGGAAAACAAATGCACAGTCCTTAGTTTTTAGTTTAACATCAGATGGTTCTGTGGAGACTGACATGAAACTGAAAACAAACGTGATAGTTGCTGAATATCAGAAAACCTTAAATCTATCGACTTTAATATTTCCCTTCCATGCATTCACTTAATGGTCGGTAGAATGAATGTTTAATATTGTCCATTTATTGCAAAACCGTCAAGAGTTTATAACCCAAATGACCATTTGATTCCACAAAATGAATGCCGAAACTATGAGGAGTCTAACTTCATTTCCATAGTGGACATGGAAGTGATGAAAAAGTGTCTCTGGTAGTATAATTATTTATTAGATGTTGTGGTCAGCTTACAAAGCATAATGCATCAGGAGGCGGTGCGTTTATTTTGGACCTTAAGTTAACACTCCAGCGTTCCCTCTTTTTGGTAATAACAAAATTAAGCAATAAACACTCATTTAACCATCATCCAAACTGTTTTGACTCAAATGTCAAAAGGGGATGAAAAATCCTTAAATATCCCGCCTGCATGCAGGGCCACCTGAGTCCCTGAGAGAGCAGTTTGAGGTCAGCAAAGTTCCTCCAAGCCACATTTTTAGACAAGATCAATCTTCCCCATTTTAAGCTTCTCTGGTGTTTCCTCTTCGAGCCTCGTTCGCCTTGTTCTGAGAATCCGTTGTCGCCACTGCGACTTCGTAACTTGTTTTTTCTTCTTCAGTCATCCAGTTCCAGACCAAAGTGGCTGTAGAGATCTCGTGTGGTGGTCCCCCTCACAGCAGCTGCAAGATGTAGCAGAGCAAGGGTCAGGCCTTGATGGTAATAAGCAATAGCTCAGCCTGAAAGGGATGCAAGCGTTTGCCTTTTGTTTGATGCAAATTGTATTCACTTGGTGGGTGTGCACTCGCAGTGCTGATGAAATAAGGGGGTTTGAAGGCTGAGAGCTACAGAGAGGATCATTGTTTGCCGTTTTGTCAATTACACCCAAGGCTTCCCTGTGTTAAAATAGTCACGTGTTTTCGTTCAAGTTACTTTTTTGTGCGTTTTTTCCAGGGGCATTTCATAAGATTTCCTTTTTAAAAGTACTGTTGCCAAATAAGTTCACTTCAGACAGTGGAATCGTATTAGGAAAACTTGCATAGCTGGGGCAACTCCTGGATTTAATAAAAAGCTCTAAACATGTGAAACGTGTACATCATTCAGATTGGTAGGGAGATTTGACAATGCCTCAGTTGTCTTTGGAGGGTACTGCCTCCACTCTCACGCCTCCCAGCATAACCACATATAACAGCAAGTGTTTAGTGTAGACGCTCTGTGGAAGAGTGTGAGAGAGAGAGAGAGAGAGAGAGCTGAATGGGGAGATCTAGGATGATAGAAGTGTTTGTATTTGACAGTTTGCGAGTGTATGCATGCGTCTGGGTGTCAGACAGAGATTGTAATTGTGTGTGTGTGTGTGTGTTATGTGAAAGACTGCCATTGTGACGTAGTGGAAACGCCACCTCCATTCACGAAGGTCATTATCAGACTCCTCTGTAACTGTACTGACCAAGAATTTAAAAGTGATAGCGAGCGTTTAACTCACAACATAGATTTAAAACAGACAAGTGAAGAAATGGGAACTAGGGGTCATTAAAGCATTCAAGCAATAGATGACTGGTGTTGTTCCTGTGTCTACATTCCACAAAGTTCAGCCGACTAAATAAAGATGTTCTGATTTCATTTGATGGCACACAAACAATCATGTGCGTGTAAAAGTCGGCTACAGGTCATGTTTGTTATGAATCACGCACAGACCATAGTGTGACTCACGGACGAGAGCATAATGTGTGAACTCTATACTCCTTCCCACGGTTGATTAACATACACAAATATATTTTTAAAAGACACAAACTTATACTCATTGTCCCCTATTTCCTTATACTTTTGTGTGCCCACAGACATATTTACAGTATCACAGGGATTCAGACACAAGTTGTAGAGAGAACATGAAGCGTCAATGCAACTTTCCAATCTCTGTGATTCCAGTAAAGTGATGATTCAAAATTGCATGAAAAAGATGTATGTATAGAAAAAGAACGACACCAGAGCCCATCAATATTAGCCAACATATGACTGGACACAAAACATGAAAGAACTCTCAATGACACTTTACAGTGTTGAACTAATGAAATTACGGTATCACAGGCAGACCAACGGAACATCAACAGAATCGGTGAAGTGGGATTTGATTCCATCCGAAATCAAAACAGGCTTCGGCTTTCCACGAAGGCCTCAAAGGGAAACAGAGCAGCGCCTCTGTTGCCCTCTGGTGGCCGGCTGTGCAACAACACAACAACACTTTCGCACAAGGAGCAATACCTGATCAGATAAGAACGTACTCACATGTTCCTTTGAGGACGTCCACTTAAATAACTTGAATGTATATTTAAAAAGACACAAATTTGGGCACGGCTGTTTATTGAGTTTTAGGAGTACACTTCCATTAATTGTCTCTGAAGTTACACTTAAGCAAATACCACGAGGTAGTAGACTGTGACAACGACGACAGTATATCACATGTGGTAAACATTATGGGTCTTTGTTCAGTATTTACCTCCATCTCAGTAGCTTAACTAGTTAAGTAGTAAGGATGCGATGAAACTGTAGCATAGTTTGTATTCTTGTCCAAACCAAACCAGAAAACAGACATTTTGTCTAGTCTGTTTACATTGCCAGCATATTAGTTGCTCAATTACTACTCAAATTATACCCTCTTATACACTCCTCAGCTCAGGGAGGGAAAGCTCATAATGGGGTTGAATGAATCAAGCCATAAAAGGATCAGCAGGAAAGTTAATTCCACAAGTTACCCATAAGTATATTATTTATAATCACTTTTCATTTTGTGAATTTCTGACTGGTTTCATTCTTTGTCTCCAAGTGTAATGTATCTGACCTGCATAATATAATTTAACCAAGTTGAAATGTTACTTTGGCCTGGTACATTTGACCATTATGCCCTTTTATATGCTACTAAAACTAATGAACTATGAATCTTACCAATACGGCCCAGGAGTGACTGTCCAATGTCTTTGATGTCATTGTATTCATGCAGCATATCGATATGATGCTCCAGCTCCTCTACTCTGCATCCTCTGGAGAGACACAAACACAACAGGTCTCAAAAAAACATGCAAATACTCATGCACAAAAGTCAAGCAAAATAGAAGAACAAACAAAAAACATATCGAATCAACCAAACTATGTGAAGGCCAGAAGAGCACACGTGGGGCACATTGCATTATAGGTCATACACAGTGTTATAACGCTTAGCATAACTGGTTACATGGTTGTCCTTTAACACCTCGCGGAGGTTCGACCTTAAAAACTATAATGGATGAAGACAAAAAGCACACAGCTGTACTCACTCAGCCTCGAACTGGGCGATCTCAGCGTCCAGCTGCTCTCTCCTCCTCTCCAGCTCGGCTAGCTCCTCTGCGGGGCTAACGTTAGCACTCTCCCTCACCGTGAGCTGTCAGGTGCAAAACAGACGAGCGTGATGCCGGAGTGGACGTGTGTGTCTCACACATAGAGAGGGGGGTTACTTACAGGGGATTTGAAGTTGGAGTGAACCCTCTTAAACTTTGAGGAGGGAGTTCTAGGGAGATGAAGACGTAATCAGCGGCGCCTTGAAATAATGTTGTGTCCGTTACTCTCAGCTAACGTTAGCTAGCGGTAACGTTATCTTACCTTTTCAGTGCTGCTTTCTTCGGCGTCGAAACTGCGCACTCGTTGTGACAACCGTGGACTTCGGGCGACTGCTCAGTGCTCATACTGTCTTAAATGTAAAATGAAGTGCGGTGACTAGGAGGAGCAGAAAAGTGGCGACCGAAAAAAGAAGGAAGTTTTGCAATTCGCGGCTGGTGGTAAACAGACTCGTGATTGGTTGTTGAAACAGTGAGGCGGGACCTAGATAAAGCCAGCGCTCTCGCGAGAGTTTGGGAGACTTTGTGATGTTTGCGTATAATACCGTCATAAATACTTGTTCGATCCTTCTGACGCTTCTCAAACTGTCAATCACTATCTTTGTCTATGAACATTGCATTTTGCATATATTGTAACCAGCAAGGAGATTAAATTCAAACGGACTATAAGACGTGTTGCAGTTGTAGATGTTGACCTTGTGTCATCTATCTAAGTCAGTAAGTGAGGAAAAGTGGGCTAAATCCCATTATTGTTAACAATCATAGCCTCAATAACTTAAAATAACACATCGGCTCAGGGAAATCATATAATATTGTAAAAATGAATGAAGTCTACAAATGCACTGGTACTCTTACACGGTGTAAGGTTACAGCTTAGGCATGTAGAGCTAGGAGATACCACCAAGGAACTTTGATGACAAAATGACTCATATCTTAAACTAATTGGTGACCATTTCAATGAGTTTCCATAAGTATGGAATGTCCGGTCCGGGAGCTAAATTTAAGAGGGGTTGTCTGTTTATTACAACCAGAAACCGGAGTAAACCATGCCACTATGCTCATTAAACCACCAGATGGCGACCAAGAACAATTTAAATGGGATCTCATGTTTCTATCTTACTGTCAATACCGACCATAACATACATATTCCCCCCTTAGAAACGGTGTAGCATATAATCATATGAGCATCAAAACAGATTCTGTGAACCGCTCACCAGGAAAAGTGTTCCTCAGACGGATTCAAAGCTCGCGGTGGTCCAAATATAAATCGGTGGTGGATTAAAAAAAGCAAAAGGTCACGTTCAATCCACAAACACAGATGCTCACGGACACACATTTTTTTCCATCATATATTGGGGCCATTACGGTTCACAGTCAAGCACCAAAGGAAATGAACACAGTAACATATTTAGCTTTTCAAACACACAGTGAGCTACACGCGGCCAAATGTGTAACCAGGAGAGTTTTTGTTGTGAGTGTGGAAGACATAAAACTGAGTCCAATCTGTTATGTGTCCTCTGGATTCATTGCTTATTCATTAGTTGTTATACAGAGACAGAGAGGGTCTGCAATGAAAAATTCAGACAGGAGGTATACGGCCTTTTCTTCTTCTTTTAGAAGTCACAAGATCACACACACTGGGCGTAAATGGCTGCTGCATGCAGTCCTGTGTGTGTGTGTGACACAGAGGGGTTGTGGGGGGAGGATTTATGGAGGATGTCCGTTTCTCACACACGTGTGAGTGTGGTGCATAAATGGCTCCTTTTTACGTCCCAGGGTTTTGTTGATTACGGACACTATGACAGTTTTTGTGGAATCAAATGTTACATCTGAGGTTATTGTTAATGTGAGCAAGGGTCTGTTTGTGATGCTGATTGTACACAAGTCTTTAGTCTGAGGAAATTGCTCTTTCCTAATGTGCTCCCAACCTCTCAAAGGCATCGTTAGTTTAATGTCCAAATGTCTGGTGTAAAAAGGGACCTGTTTTGTGTTTAGAGCAGCTCAGTCTTGATTGAATTCAAGTTTGTATTCAGATCCTTTTTTTTCAATCTTAATTTTAGGTCTATATTCCATTTCTATCTATTTTCCATCTTTTTCTGATCAAGTACAACCATCGAGGAAGCCTGGCGGATGTGATCGGCTTGTCTGTGAAATAGTGAGTGGAAGTTTGTCTATGATTTTATGTCGCCAAAGTGAATTATTAACTTTGAATAAAGTAACATTTTTTCTTTTGTGTTTTTAATCCAAAATCCACAGAAATAATCAATAAAAGTAGCTTACAACCACAGTTTTGCGTTTGAATGCCTCAAAACGTCAGGAAAATGGATTCATATTTCTTAACACGATAAAAGTTTTATATAAGGCTATCATAATGAAAGCACAATTCTACAGGAGGGCAGGAGATGTAGAAAAGGAAGAAAGCAGGGAGATGAGCAGGTATCGGGACAATTTGTTCAGGAGGGGATCAAGGACCGGGAATCAGAGAAGGGAACAGAACAAGAGATTGAAAAGGAGGAGAAGGAGTGAGAGGCTTTGGCTTGCAAACTTGGTTGGAACGTTTCATACCGTGTCCATAATTCATAGAGGGGCAGCCACTCTTCATACTGCATCTAAATTCCACTGCTGGGGAATTGTGACCAGGAGCCATAAAATAGACAGACACGCACACCTACACACACACACACACACACACACACACACACACACACACACACACACACACACACACACACACACACACACACACACACACTCTCTTAGAATGAAGTATTATAGAGTTAGAGAGAGAGAGTGCCCAGGGAACAGACAAGGTAAGAGATAGTGAGCACACTGCTGCAAGAAGAGAGGCAGATGAGAGGGAGGAATTCAAAGCATGTCATAAAGCATCGATACACCTCTGAAGGCCCGGCGATACAAGCTCTGCTTACACCGGAGGCGATCGAGCCTTTAAATAATTCACAGAGCTTACACAAGCGCCCATTTGCACCAATACGGTACAAACGTTTATGCAAACAAATACGGACGTGTAGATGAATGGATAAAATACACACCTCCACATACAGATGCTCCGCACCAGTATACAAAATCATCAAACGCCTTCTGGAGGGTTGGCCGGAGTGAAGTTAGAGGGAAAGATGGGTGTTGATGTCGTCTCTTCATACGCTCCCGGAGCCTCGGTGAAAGCGGCCCGATTGATCGTTAGGCCGTCTAAGCGACGAGGCAGACTTTTGCTGAGCTGGACGGCGTCCAGCGTGATGGACCTCGCAGTGACCCGCCAACCTCTCTTTCACAACAACATCTCAATCAAAACAGTATTGATTCCCACATCAGGCGCTTGTGATAGAACGTTGCGGATGCCTTCACTCTTGACAGAGCTATGAATAAAAGCGGTTGTCTCTGACTCAGAATAGAGTACATGCTAAACGCGCTGCAGCACCAACACTGACATGTGATGTTATCGGACAAGTGGGGTCATCGCATGTAAATTATGGTGAGTGTAAACAAATGCATTTGCATGTTTCCTTGCGCGTGGAATGCCGGTGTGACAGTAATGCGCTATTACGATGCCATTCATGTAGAGATGAATGAGAGGCTGAACGTAGCTGCATCAAAGGCAATCCATCATAATCTGAGAGGGTCGTGTTAATGTCATCACAAAATGGCTATTGGTGCCAGGAAGGCCTCGGTTTGAGATCAGCTCCCGTACGCCTCCATCTGTCTGTGTGCTCGCTGGCGTGTGCTATTTCTCATTCATCTGCTCTGACTCATCCTTCTAATAACCACCTAGATTTCCTCTCTGAAATAGTTTGCAGTGGTTTTCCTATTGTATGATTAGTCTGCCTGCATCTCTGACTCACTCTGTTTGTTGTCAGAGAAAAGCTTCCCCCAGTTTTGTCTTCTAGCTGGATGACTGCGCATGGTCTCCTGGTCTGTGACAGGTTGCTTTCTCATCGCACATAGAAGTCATTTTTGTTTCTTAGTCCTCTCATTCAAATATGTTGGAGTGTGTTGTGTGTTGGAGGTTTGTCAGGTACTTTTTTGTATGTTGCAGTAGGTCTAATGTTTGACATTAGTCATAAAATAAAACAGACTTCTTTCTGAAACATAATCACAGCTGTATGCTTTCGAAGAATTACCTTTTGGCTGCCGCTGGGCACTAACAGTAATTTTCCACCATGCGTTTTAGTGAAGAGCAAATGCTGGCTTATTAGCAAAGTTAAGCTGCTTTTCAATAAAGGATAGACCATTTTTAGTTTATGGTGCATTATTGTCCTATGGTACTTTCTAAACATAAATCTGCTTATAAAATTCCTATTTTGAATCTATATTATACTTTTTTGAGAGTAATGATACCTTCTTAACTTATTCCCCTTGTATTGTAATATCTTGTTGTATACTTGTATTCTATGCATTTCTGTCAAAATATATTTTTCCATTGTTTTGGTAAGTAAACCTAATGGTCTAAATCCCACTTTCATTCCTGTGGTATATACAAAAAAAACATGTTTTTTATTGCAGGTTCTGCTTTTTTTGAGAGGTGCTAGCTGATATTTCACCTTGTGTTCAGCATCTCACTCTATGAGGTAATCCAAGGAGATGCACCATGCGTTTGGTTGCGTCCACTTTACAGTATTTGTCAGCCTGCAGAAATAATATACATCCAATACCTCTAACGGTGTTTCCTTAAAAAACCATATGAGCCACAAGACAATTGTAATAATCATTTAGTTTGGGTGAAATCAACAACAAAAACAAAACATAGCAGAAGGATTTTCACACCATTTTATTAGCAACAATGTGTCTGTTAGTCATATATTAGAAACAAGGACAGAAACATTTCTGCTGTACTGTACTTAGTCTGAAAAAACAGCTGGATCATAAAATAAAGCAAGAAATTTAAATAGGACAGCAACACTGCATTTCAGTATACACTTGCAATAATATGAATCACTATAATAATAAATTTCTCTCAGAATTCTTTATGGCACAAAATTTCCTGTGCAACTATCACATCTGTTTAAAGGTAAAAGCAAAGCATTGCGGACTATGTGTGTGTGTGTGTGTGTGTGAGAGTTACTCGTGGTGTGGTTACATAAATCTGTTCATAGTCTCATCGTGGGGACGAAATTCACCTCCGCGTAATGTAAATTATTACATTACAGGATGAAGACCGGACGTTGAAGGTAAGGGTCACGTTAAGGTTAGGGTTGGTTGTTAGGGTTCGGGTAAGAGTGGTATCGTTAGGGTAACTTTCAAGAGTGTTAAGTGGAACATAAAATTGTGTGTGTGTGTGTGCACGCTTATGTATGTCGTAGTGTATTTGCAGTAAAGCACATGTCACAAGAGGAAAAACTTTTAAAAAATCACTCACTGTTTCACCCTTTTGGAATATAAATGAGCAAGAGAGAGACAGAAGTAGAGAAAGAGCAAGAGAGGAGGAGAAGGAGGAGATACGAGAGAGAATCAAATCAGCTTCAAGCCGCTCACACAACCACAAGCATTTCTTCATGAAATCCAGCATTGATTCATTTCATTCATGAAATGTTCATCCTGTGTCCAAAGAAATCCGCCACTGCTCTTCCCCCCCGTCAGGCCGGTTTAGTCCAGTGCAGAAAACCAAAAACAATCCAGAGTAAGAATTCTTTAAACACCTCAGAGGAGGAAATGTTCCTCAATCCAAGAAGTCGGGTGAGAGAGAGAGAGAGAGAGAGAGAGAGACTGTGTATGCTATGGCCTGTTAAATATCTATACATGTGCGCTTAAAGGTGAATTGTAACCCATGTATCCACGTGTCAACAAATCAGATGACTGCAGTGAAGGGACCACACCTTTAAACCTCAGTAAAGAACTTATCGATTATCTCACTGTGAAGTTGATGATGTGTTACTTCTCGGACTACAAATCCAACCCCTTCCCAAACATGTTCAAAATGCTATTGCAACCCACCGCTGGGTTCGTATACGTGTAGGGGTGACAGGCTGTTTAATTGTATGGAATAAGAGTCATGGTATAACTCATCGAGTTACACACACACACACACACACACACACGCACACACACGCACACACACACACACACATGCATGCAAGCACAGTCACATGAATGCGAGGACCCCCCCCTCCCCCCTTTTGGCACCTTGTGCGCTGCCTTCGAGAACACACAGGCCGGTCTCTGCTGAAGTGGATACTGTACGTACACTTTGCGCGGTCAACAGGCGCTCAGAAAAATACAGCCTCCCGTCAAACTGCGGGAAGGATGTGGACAACAAGCAGGGATTTTCCATCTTCCGCGAGCCCTTTATGTCATAATATATCACGGCCTAAGTTAAGTCGATCTGTAATGCCAGTGGGCGGCAGCTAAAACATGGCGTCGCTTTCCTGCACTGGTGGTAGTGATCGCTGTAATCTGTGGATGGAGGAACAGACCGATCATCCCATCATAGGAGACAGAAACACTGGACTTCTGGGATCATATTAGCAGCTATGGCAGAGAGGAAATCCCCGCCGATTATGTCATTTCGACATGGCAGGAATCTGTGTATCTTTCAGGCCACGAGTACAAGAGTCCACAGGAAGTAGGGACACACAAACATCATCAAAGCGTGAAACAAATCCCATTCTTAGTGTTACAAAAGAGCTATTGAACAATACAAAATAATGTAATCAAGAGGTTCACGTCATTGTTGAACTTAATACTTTTGACTTAACACATTTTAACTACTTTAAACTCTATAGTGGCCCAAGTGTACGTCCTGGACCTGAGCGTAGAATCTGTAGATCCCGTCCCGAGAGCCATCTGATTCCTCCCTTCAACAAGAGGTGACCAGTGGAACGGAAACAGGCCGGCTCAGAGCATACTGGACTGGACTAAACTGGTGAGACGGAAACCCAGTTCCAAAGCGGCCATCGCGGTTCATCTAAGCTCGGATGAGTTTGCACCAAACTCGCCCGGGCTAAACATCAGTGCTGATGCTGCAGCTGCGGGTGAACATGTCCCTCATGGTGACCGACCGGCCGAGGTTTGGTTTACGGTAGTTTGAAATGTTCACAGGCACCGGTAAGTCCAGATCCTGCTGCTGCACGCTGCGGTAGCTGATCCGCTCACCTCCGTTCCTCAAGCCATCCGGTTGATGGTGGATCTGCGGCTGAGCGGGGGGCTGGAGGTAGAAAGGCAGGTCATAGTGCGTACAGGACGGACAGAAGGTCTGCGAGCGCGTCAGTTTCCTGGCCAGCGGAGGCGTGGAGAACAGCGCGGGGCCATTGGGGATGGAGGAGGCGGCGGCCGTCGCCGCCACAATGTTGTGGTTGGAGTGGACCGGTGGTAGGCGGGACGTTACGGCAAAGTCTGGCTCCTCCTCCTCCGACTCGGACTCTTCCTTCTTGCAGCAATAATACTGGCGGTGGGAGAGAGATGAAGCAGAGCAGAGATGAGGTGAAAGAAAGGAGGGGGAGAAAAGGGAAATATTAAAAATGATCTAATCTGTGAAGGAAAGAAGAGGGGAGTTAATTGGACGCATAACAGAATTTGAATGAACAATAAAGAGAAAGATAAGAGAAATGAAGTGGCATTCATCACACTGAAATGTCAGCATGGCCAAACACAGCACAGCAGACCCTTTGGCAAATTAGCTTACACGCAGTATTGGTCAAATAAAGTCATTGCCATCGTCTTTATTCTAACAATTATGTGGTACTGTTTTTTTGCATATTGAGTGGGAGAAAATGTCAAACAACACGCAATATAACATGCATGTAGTCTAAATTGATGTATCCTCACATTTATCAACCAAGTAAGATTTGTCTGGTTTGCACACTGAATGCGTCTTTGGAGAAAATCACAATCGAACCCCCCTTCTGCCTATTTCCCGAAACCCACATGATCTTGTATAGGTGGTTATATGCGTTGCCTCAGTAATTCTGCATGTGTCCTACAGTAGCATTCCAGAAAGGTTTTGGTCTCAGATTATTATTTTATCTTTTATCTATTTTATCGTGCCAAATACTCAACAATCATAGTTAAAAAAGATATTCTCCACTTTTCAGTTTGGAGTTTCTATTTCTGAGCAACAAACTATTTCCTGGCCTCCTGCCAACTTTTGTGCATCATATTTTTGCAGTAAAAAATATAACAATATAACAATCCCTAGTTGATGATTAAGGTCGTAAATGTCTGTGGCCCGTTCTCGAATTGTTTGCCATTTGTAGCCATTATTTGAATATTAATTAACTAATTGTAAAACAATTATATGATTCTCATGTCTCTTGATCATAGAAAAATTCTTCCAATAAGAAACGGACTAAAATATAATCAGTAGGTTCAAATGTAACCATATTTTTGCATTTTATGTTGCTAATATTGTATTGAATTTTAATGGGATGGGCAGTTGAAAGTCCAGGCATCGTATTGAACAGTGGATTTGTCAAGTGTAGCAGTGAGTATAGAGTATAATAAAAAACAAATCCACATGCCACAATCCACAAACTGGTGTTATTGGTGGGATGGTTCAACCAAACTATTAAGTTAAGCCTTAATACGCATTCCTGTTTATTAAGCATTATGCATTCTATAGATGCCACAGCGCCTGTCCAAGACCAGTGATACGAAAAGGAAGTCTGCAACACAACTCATGTGAGACAAAGCATTGGAAAATATTGATGTGAGTGCAATCTTGGATTTGATTCCACGTGGGAGTTTTTTCTTCATTAATGTTACTACAGTATGAGGAAACCTTTACCTGGTCATGAAATCTTCAATATAATACTGATCCGTCTATGCGACTTACATAAGTAAATAAGCCCCTGCTGGGAGTCAACACCGACATCACGCTGTTGCCTTCTAAACGGAAGGGAGGTGCGAGAGAACCGCAATCAGGACTGCAAGGAGGAGACCGTCAGACCCTGCTGCAGTAAAATGAAAGGTTTTTTTTAAAGGGGTTCTGGTGCTTCAAAAACACTCTGAATCTAGCAAAACAAAAAAGGGAAGTTCTTCATAGTAGCTTTAAGTATAGGCTTTAGCCGTATGAAATAGAGCAGGCCATGTAGGTCGTTGGGACGGTCCGACCACCACTTTGTTCCAGGCTCTCAGGAACCAGGGGACAGATCATTGTAGCTATAACTCATAGCTTTTTACTTCTATGTTGGTGTGTTTGTTTGGAGTCTTAAAAACAATCGAAAAAGGATGGGTTGTTCTTCTACATTTTAATGCTTGTGCAGATCCTAAAACATCCTGAAAAATTGGACATATATATTATATATATATATATATATATATTATCCATGGTAGCTGAAAATTAACAGAATTGAGCAGCTCGGGACTAATAACGCAGTGCTATGCTCTAGGACATCCCTTACTTGCAGCTCTGCAGACGTTCACAGGAAAAACAGTTTGTGGCCTCACCTGCAGCCTACAGTAGCACAGTACTGCGATGATAAGGAGTAATATAACCGTAGCTAGAATTCCACCAGTGATGACCACTGTCCCGGCTGTCATTCGAATAGCTCTCCATCAACAGCCTGCAGAGAGCAAGAGAAAGGAAAGGAGAGGAAAAGAGGAGAGGAGAGTGTTAAAGGAATGACACAAGAGAAAATGCACACAATTAATCAACACGGTGGCTTCATTAAGTAGATTATAACTGTGTCTCAGCGGTGCTTATTGAATTATCCAGCAGTTAGGAGAGACGTAATAATATCACCCTGCAAAGGATGCTCATAACTTTGACGGGATCTCAGGCTGGACTGTAGAAAAATGTGAGATTGAGAGGGAAACCGGTGCATGAGCAGAGGTAGAGAGGAATATGATGAAGAGTAGATATGAAAAGGAGGGAATAAGAGATGGAGGTGATTAAGATGGTGTGAGAGATAGATGGGCAGAGGTGAGATAAAAACAGTGGGCGGATGGAAAGGAAGGAGAGTGGAAAAGATAAAGAATAGTAATAATATCAATCACAAAGAATGGCGGTTTCACAGTTAGTGAAGTATGTGGTGAAATAATCGGCCCCTTCTGTGTTTCCCAAGTTACAATGAAACAGCGATGCTTACTTAATTAGATACATCTCTTGATGAAACAGGGATACTTTAAAAGTCCAGAATGAGGGAATATCAGATTAAGGAGAGAAAAACTATTTACATCAGAATCAACAATTATCAGATAGAGAAGAAGCAGTTGTTCCGTTTAATGCACTGTGCAAACTGGACAGAGAGGAATATCATGAACTTCATTGCATCAATCGGTGGGAAACATCCAACCGGACTGCTGGGAGTGAACTTTGAACTCTGACCTTAAACCAAAGGTCACAACAAAGACAAATTAAGACGTCGACCTGAGCGCTTCAAGCTCATATTCACTAATCTCTTCAAAATTACATGTCCAGACCTACATTTACTGTTGTGTATTATTTATTGTTTTTTATGTGATTATGTTGTTGTTTTTTGTTACTGCAAAGATTACATGTTTCATTTGTATTCACATTTTTGTACGCAGATGGAAACGACAAGGGAGGATTGCTACAGACGTCAGAAGAACATTTGCAGCTTGATTGACTGGAGACGAACTGACCCCATTCTCACATTATTAAATCAACGTTATCCGTTAATTACTTCTTTTCAGTCCCTATCTGGATTACAGGCTGAAGTCTGGGGCCTAAATTATTTTAATATTCGTTGTGTCATCCAATTTGTCAAAGTAAGTATTTCTTTCGGCACATCCCTTCACCGTAAATTATTTGAGGCTGTCATAACATACAAACACATTACTACAGCTAGAAGAATTATAACACATTATGATCCCTGCACAAAGAGTGATTGGAAATTATGAAGAAGTATGATTTAGAGATTATTATTACAGGAACAACCTCAGGATTGCATTTCATTCATCTTATTTGAATTTTTTACTAAATATTGCACACTCCAACGAACCAATTACAGGTATAATAGTGTTTTTTAAGTAAACAATGTTAAGGTTAAGAGTTGAGGTCTGTGAACCATATTGCTTGATTAAATTGGACAGAAATTAAATAAGTTACCAATTAAACATTTGACAAAAGCAGTAAATAGAATTTTCCTGAAATCCATTCAGAAGTTTAGTTTTCTCCTATCGCATTACTTAACATGGTTAGTGTTACTGTCACCAATTTCGGCAGACAATTAGAAAGAGACATAAATAGGTTGTCGTTCGGCGCACAGGTTGAGTAACATTCTTACATATTTTGGGAAAACCCCGCGGACCCTTGACAGACGTGGGTAGAGACTCTTTTTCTCTTCATTACATCCACAATCTGGAGGTGCCATTGGCCCACGCAACACACTGCGCTGTGGGTAATTGCCCAAAACCTAAAATAGGACACAACAAATGGCCCCGTGTGGTCAAGATGTCGCTCAACTGGGACGTGGACGAACCCTAAAATGGAGATTGTGTAAAAAAAAGTCCTTTGAATCATTCTGAGGTAAACAAACAGTCGTACTATGTCCCACCGAGCTCGCAATTTACACCAACTTTGACCTCCTTGAGGTTGTAGTGGTCTCCATCCGCCTACTCTACTCTACTGTAGTGTGTATCATTCACTAAGTGACAGCTGACCTCCTCAACCAGTAACACCTCTAAACCATGTTGGATTCCTCTGTGGCAAACGTGTCCCAACCGTCTCAGTGCTCATTTCGACATGTTTCTCCGGAGACGCTCTATGAAGTTAGAATGGATCAGACTGTCTGTGCGGCAGCTATCTGCTCCACAAACACACAACGCAGCCGCTCCTCCCTCCGGCTGGAACACAGCTGGACTCTAATCCAATCTGCCCGCCGTCCGAATCAATACACCAGCGTCACTGCTTCTCAGTTGGGAGGACGAGGGAAATGTGGTGACTCGGGGATGGTCTCTGGTGTCGGGGGAAATGAAGAAGGTGGAGTTTGAGCGCTTGTCTGACCCTTAGGGTGAAGCACTGGGTCATGGACGTAATCCGCCCCTTTTACAGCAGCCACATTGGCGTGTCCAAGCGGGGTAAACACGGGTGTAATTCATCAAACTGATGATGGTCCAGTTTAGTGGCACAGAAATTCCAATGATTCAGCACTCGCATTATCAGGGCCCATTAAGTTGCCGGGGCACAGCTTAATGGAAACGGGCCGTGCTGTATTGTGATCAATTACACCAGTGTTTACCCTGCAATCGCATGTAAAATGTCTGCTTCAAAAAGAGCCTCTATCCTGCAATCCATTATCATGTAATTGCTCAGTTAGAGCTGTCTTTAATGTCAATAATGGATTGAAACTAATTACTCCTTTGTATGAATAACAAGGAATCAAAAATAGATCATACCAATCAACTATTTTTTTATACTTAAGCTAGTCGACCAACTCTGCAATTCCCCTCATTTGAATTGTTTTGGTTTGCTCTCACTGCTTCTATCAGAGTTGAGACAAGATATGAAATGATATTTGGGATAAAAAAAACTCATAGCTTAAAATGTAACGGCCCCTTTGTGCATACAGATACCGAGGCCCTTTTTCACACATATTGAACACAAACAATGAAGAATTGCTTTATTTCAAAAATGTAAATGATCATTCATGAACATTTAAACCTGTCCATGTTATAAGCAATATTTCCTGTGGTGGTATTATAATTAGAAAATTGGTGCTACAAAGTACTAGTGACAAATAAGTGCACACAAATGAGTGCACCCACATGAATAGCATATCCAAAACACACACACACACAGAATTACATTATGCAGGGATAAAACACAAACAGTAACAGAAGAAGAATATTGAGCTTGTATGGAGTGTCTCTGCATTACAAAAAAAACTACTCAAAACTTGGCAAGCCTGCAGACACAAGCAGTGACACATGAAAAGTCATTAGTCATGACACAAAGAGTGTCTTAAACATCCTCCAGTGTGTACACACACACACACACACACACACACACACACACACACACACACACACACACACACACACACACACACACACTCAGAGTACATGCAGCATTCGTTGCTGTACAGGGAAGGCAGACAGTGTTTATCTCTTAGGACCCTCTTAATCCGCACAGTGTGAGGGATGTGTTGCAGCGAAGCGGTGAACAGTGTTAATTATTTAACCACACACACACACTTCAAACTTCATTGAAAAGAGCCTCGGAGAAATGCAAACATGTCTGCTCAGCTTCTTTTGCTGGTGTTTGTTCACGGGAATGACAAGAGGTTAGGAAGTAGAAGAGGAAAAGCAGTGGGCGCACGCACACACTCACACAAACACACACTAACACTCACAGGCAATAATTTCAGTACTAGCTAACATGCTCAGACAGCGGGCTTCGGAATGAATGGCCACGCTTTGATGAAACATGGCAGGGATCACAGCAGAGGTCTTGCTGGGAATAATGGCTGTTGACAGGCTTTCGGCAGGATGGAGGAGAAGCGCGTAGTAGGTGGTGGATCCGAGTCACACAACAAGGAACAATAACGCGTCACCACAACAATGGGGTAAGCCTCATTACCGCTGTGGCTTTCAAAGAGGGAATTTCGCACATACATCTGCCGCCACATCCAAAGACGCAGTGAATTCACGCATGCATGGGGCCACGGAGGTAAGGACACACCCCCCCCCCAAAAACCGTATCTGTTTTTAAACGTTTTTTCAGGGACGGCGTCCAGCTGCTGTTGCTGAGGTTTGTGTTCCCGTTATTCGATAACAGAGCTCCAATCTGATAATACTAAGAAAGACACAATGAAACCTTCTTCGGGCGAAATCAGTTTAATTACAGCGCTTTGTCCTCGTTTGGCCCACCCTCTAAAGGACTGCAATCAGAGAACTCAACTAGTGTTCGCCAAAAATAATGAATAACTTACAAGTCTCCCGCTACATCGATCTCATCAGAGGAAATTAAAAAATGTTTCAGGTATTCAGATATCCATTATGCAACATTCATCACATCTATTATCACTTACATGTTGATGAGTAATGCACCATCATGAGGATAATGGAGTGCCACTGTGATCCACTTTGTACACTTCATTAATGTTCCTTTTGAGCACAAGCCACCCTGCTGTGATACGCCGATGATACAGACGTGCAGCTTTAAAGGAAGAATTAAACTTTCTGGGCTCGTTCACTTTCCTGCTTCGAGTTCAATGAGATCATCGGCACCACTGCAGGGTTTGTGAGTTGGAAGCGTGGAACTACTATAAAGCAGGGGTGCGGTTAGCTTAGCTTAGCATAAAGGCTGGAAGCAACTGGGACCAGCTTGTCCAACTCTCACCAAAGTTCACAAATACGCATAGCGTAGTGTATTTCTGAGAAATGTTAATACTTTTTAGTAAAAAAAATTGATACGCGCGTAGATCAGAGGATCAGTTTTTTCAACATCTTTTATTCAAAATAAAGGAAATTGAAAAGATTCTAATCCAGTTGATTTGCCCGCCAAAATATTCTGAATACATACATAGAAAATAATTTAGAATACAAATTTGACCAAAGCTTATGTGCAAGTGCAAAAGTTCCCAAGGAGGGAGAAGACAAGTTCACTACATGTCAACATGAAAGTAGAAATTAAGTCAATAAAAATGACTTTTACAACAGATGCTGCAACATTGATTTAATGACTTAATGCAAGTAGTGATGTAAACTCTGAAAAGCTTACAAATTCCTCCTTCATCCTTGCCATAATATTATCCTCTGTGGCTGCATCGACCCCCCTTCATTCTCCCCTCAGGCTCAGTCTCACTGTGTTCCAGGATAACATTTCACCAGGCAGACCAAAAAATCATTTTGTTTCTCAGTGTCCCTGCGCTCGACTGCTACCTCATTCTTCCGCTGAAAGGCACGGACGAGCTCTGTCACGACCGGACGGTGGACGGGAACCCAAATGCACGACTCACACAACGTGGTGCGAAAAAAGAATCAAAGTTTATTAACAAAAGGACAGGGCATGGCCGCTGAAATAAAAATCACTCGTGGGCGAGGAAAAAACCGATCTAGAGACAAAAACTGAAAGCAGGCTCAATTAAGGTGTCGACAAAAAACGAGGCAAGACTGTGGACATACGTAGCGCTGGCACGGTGGCTTGGGACAAGACGAACTGGCACAGGACAGAGGGAGACTCAGACAATATATACACACACATAGGGGAAGTGCACAGGTGGAGACAATCAGGGGAGGGGCGGCAATCACACCGACACAAGAGGAAGGGGAAAGTTGCCTGAAACAAGGGGAAGGTTCATTTTCCAAAATAAAACAGGAACTCACGGGACGGACACGAGACAACCTAACTAACATCTTTTTCTGGACATGACAAGCTCGACCTTAAATCTGACCTTGAATCGGGTTCCAGGGAAAGCCCAAAGTCTATAGGACATAATGTGAGAACATGAGGTTGTAGAATGAAGAAATCTCTTAGCCGTGTTGTGTAGCAATGATTAAAAATAAGGAGTAGTTCTTTCTCTTTCATTACCCGGAAAACGGGTCTGTAATTATGGCCCCTTTGTGGATGATACATCATACAAACGACTCTCGGCTAGTATGAATATGAAACCACGAGGACATTGGAAAGCAAAGAAACGCTGACCTGGGGCTCTCTCCATTTAATTACACACCTCACTAAATGTCCCTCATCCATCCAAATGACCTTGTTCTGTTGCTCTGCAGTTCAAACGGCGTGCTGATGTAACTTTAAACGTGATATTCATGCTCTGCATGACTGACGTAGCACATCCTTCCTTGTCCGAAACTATTTTTACCTTTTTTTTTAATAGTTGCCCCAATCCATTAATAGAAATATGTCTGTTATAACTGTCTTCTGCCGGCAACTCACCGCTTGGAACAGAAACGTAATGGAGGATGGATTGTTTACTAGTATTGGCTCCTGGACAAAGGTTATGAGGAAGCTTCTGCTTTGTAGCATCAGTTATCATATAGAGGCTCTCGTGAGGCTAGTGTAAAAGAAGAGATCATGGGTGTATGACCAAAATATGACCAAAAAACACCCGGCAGACAATTCCGTCTGCCGGGAAAACCTGATTTTTGGGAAAAATTGTCTTGTCCCCTGAATAGTTGAAGAAAATGAGCTTTCACTTTCAAATAACCTCAAAATAATTGCATATAATCACATTCAATCAATCTGCCATTGCACTTCCTGCTCCTCCCCTCTGCCATGCCGTGTTCTACCCTCTGCTGTGCAAATAATACCAATAGTCTGTATGTGGCAGGCTATAATCTTGGCACCAGCACGGAGCCGAATTTGGCTCAGAGACATAACAGTTCTTTGAACTTTACAGTTGATGGATTGAAAACCGGTTCTTAGGCTCTTAAAAAGTTAGGCTCAAAACTGAGGGAT